TCTAACCAAAACACCTAAATCTAATGGCTATAGTTTTGCCACATAAGGGTGTTTTGATTAGATATTAGGTTATATTTTTTTTTCTTGGCTATAATTGCCAATTTCCCTTTTTAGAATCGCCAAGAAAACAAAATATACGCCATAAAAAAGTAAATAGAAAGTGACTATAACTAGAATGATAAACTGATTTGTCTTTCCAAGTGAAACGTAAGGGAGGAAACAAAGGTTTGGAACTGTAACTTGTACGATAATTGCAATTCACTCGTCTTCATCGATGACTTTGGTTCCCAAACCAGACAAACCTTCTGGTGGGATCTCAGCAACAGTGACGAGCGAGTAAAACTCCTCCTTTGCATCTTCATCATCGTTTCTCTTGCGGGCAACACGCACTCTGATTCTCCTTGGAGGACCTCGGATTCCTCTGCTCCATATCTGCTTGTTGAGCTTCACATCAACTCTTACATCTTTAGTTCCCATTGCTTTCTCTGAAAACTTCCTAATCTCCTTAATAGCATTGGGTGCCTTCTTCTTGAAAGTGCTTTTCATTTATCCAAGACACCACATTTTTAAGTACCGACCATATTTACCAAAACGAGAGACAAAATAACAAGAAATACCATTTCAGATGCTTACAATGAACAGAAAATAAGACTAAAAGAAGCAGAGAAAGTCAACCATAACTCACTGCTTTTAGTGATTAATCCAAGAGATAGAGAAGAATGATGAACAATGGAGCCAAGGAGGAGATATGTATTGTAATCATAATTTCGACAAAACCGTTTTACTTAAATTATGCAGACATAGAGTTTTATGTAATCATTCAAATGGCTGCACCATAACAAACCTAGAAATCTGTAAGAAACTAATGATTCTTCAGACAGTATTACATATATGGAACAGGAGGACACTAATTCCACAAATTGTATCTAAGAAGAAAGCTTCGATGCGAAAAATTAAGCATCTAAAGGCTTAAAATTGTAAATTTTTACTCTTATTACCAGCTGTGGAGACGCCTGTGGAGATTGATAGTGTACTCCCTTGTAACGACCTCCTCCTTTCTCCCCTTAGATTTCTCCATTATAACTCTTTCTCTCTCTCACTTCAGCTAAGCCTGCAAAATTCGTAAAGCCAGACACATTTCAAATCCATACGGAACAAAATACATCAATTTCGTTAGCACAAAACGAGAATCAATCATAAAAAAGTACCTTTTCGCGGCGTCAAGGAGCAGAGTTTGAGACAGTGAAACAACACAGAGAAAGGAAGATCAAAATTTGTTATAACCCTTTCTTTTAACTTCAAATTACAAATCACCTTCAAAGAAAATAATTTCTTTTTCCTTTTCTTTTTATGTCGAAACTGTATGAAAAGAAAAAATAACCAAACAAAACTCAACTTATTTACGATCCAACCAGTTAAAATCCGATCCAAAAGTTTACCCATTCCGCATAAAGCGGATAAAAACCGCCCACGATCCGGAAACGACTCTTCTTTTTCATAACTCCGCCCACGACCATTTTAAGACAAAATTGAACTTAAATTCACTAAAAAATCAGGACAACTAGGGATAACCAACTGCGAAAATCACTACGAAGATTTCACAAAGAGATCCAATTTCCAGTCTCTTTCGTGCACCAACTYCGAACTAGGAGGTAAGGGTTTAGTTCGAATCCGTTAAATCTTTTCAATGTCGTAGAATTGGGTATAAA